TTTCCGTTGATCCATGCCACCTGACAAATATCAGCCTGTTGAGATAAGCAGATATCAGCAACAATACATCGGTAAAAAATGAGGATTCACACAAAAAAGCATACCAGATCAACAGACATATAATCTTGATAGCAGTTTTCATAGAAACTCTACTAATAGTTTTCGCAAATGCAAAACAAGAATGAGATAAATAATTCACCCTCTCTCATCTAATGAAAAACGTGATTGATTATTCAAAACAAGAGAATACAGTGTCACTCTGCTCTGTCTCACTTACATAGATGCTTGGCCTTACTCACTTTGATAGAAAAGTAAAAAAAAAAATTGCATTGCAGTGTGCCCTACTCTAATAAAAACTGTGTGTACCCGTGGGTACACCTGTCCCACCTGCAAGGAAAAAGGGTCGGGCCGAGTACGGGTCCAATTTTCATGGGTCCACAAGGCTTGACCCTATATTATTTACTTGGGTACGGGTCTTCACCCGTTTTGCCAGGTCTGACTATATTGGACTCAGAGTTCTGCTAGGATTTCAACCTCCTTGGTTCACTATATAAATAGGTGTCAAATCTCTCATTATTCATTCAGAAATCACTCATAGCTTTAGCTCTTAAATTCTTGATCCCAAGAATCATTGGTTTCCCCGCCGTAAAGTTTAATTCTAAATAACTTTACCACCTTCAACCACCGCAAAGTTGTGCTCTAACCATTTTGTGTTAGTCTTGACCTAGTCGCACCATTACAGTAAACCCTTCCCGCTCTCAAGCTTCACTAAAATACCTTCAACCATGCCGACTTGAACGTCAGTGTCCCTTGACCCTTCATGTTTGTTCTCTCTTTCCGTGCAGGTCCATCCAATTCAATGGCTCACTTCCCACAAGATTCATCCCTCTAAATCAACAGTAGATTTTACTATCTACATACATTATTTCATTTTTTTTAAAATTTGTTTAAAAACAACTCTCTGAATTGACACTAAATATAATGTGGCCACAATGAAAACAAAATGTTTATGAGAGAAACACCTTAAAATTTTCCTTTTTAGTCAAATAAAATTATTAGTATCCAATTATATATACCATTATATTTATAACTGACATACGATCATACATAGTCAAAATACTAACAGCAATATCAACTCAAGTTATAAGGTATGCATACGTGTGATATTGAAATTATATGCAAATATTATCATCTTTCCCATGTCTATTTCCATATGTTTCACCATACTTGAAAAGAAGCACCTTAAGAAAGGCGAATAAAATTATTTAATCTTTACTATTTTGTCAATCTTTTATTTTTTTTACACCTGTCGATACTTCTCTTTCTCTCATGGAAGTTGATTTTTCAGATTTGGCATTTGAAAGAGTTGAAGTTGAGCGGGCACTCTAAGAATCCTTGGTTCTACAGTCTTTTATTTTTACAAAAATAATTCTGATTATTTTATTCTTATTTTTTTGATATTTTAGATAGTATTTCTAATAAAATTATTTAATTTAAATAATTTAATATTTTTTTTAAAAAAAATTGTTGAAATCTCTTTTGACCAATCGTAGAAGTTGCCCGCAAAATTCAGCTAAACATATTATTATTGTGGATCAACATGAGTTACTAGTTAGAGTTCTCTGTGGCGAGAGAAGTCTGAAGAATCAGAAGTATGCTATTTAAGCTGATAGTAACCTACAGAGAATCTCATTGCGCTGGTATCTCATTCCGCGGGTTTGGAACTTGCTTGTCGCACAAGTCATGTTTTAGGTGAAAGAAAGGTAGATTCGTTGTAGGAATAGGTTAGTTTAGGATAATCTTTATTAGATTAGTATAACCTAGTGGAGTCCTACTTAAATATGAAAAACCTAAAAGAATCCTAGTCAAATTAGGAGAAAGTATCTTATAAAGAGGCTTGTAATTCTAATTTGATAGGGGATTCGGTGAGACCTTGAGTCCCAAGGGGTAGAGACTGCAGCTAGGGCTTGATTATTTTATTCTTGTAAGTCCTAATGGCTTGTAATCTCTGTCTTCATAGTGAATGTGAGATTATTATGGTGCTTCTGTGTCCCTAAATATTTTGTGTTGTGCGGCCTTGTTTCACAACCCCTCTCATAGTACATGAAAAGACTTATTTGCCTTTTCCCCTACAACCATTTAAAACGGCTAATTTAACAACAGAGGTCTTCTTGATAGTTTGGAGTTTACGGGGAGTTTGTATTTAGAGTTTTCAGGGGATGTAATTGGAATTAATCCTATTGATGCATGTCATATAAATGGGCTATATGGCCTCTTCAAACAGACTTATTATAAGAGTTTTACAAAATCAACACTATAGTTTAAAAGTCTTAATATTTTTAAATATGATTATTTTTTAGGGTATACTCCTCTTATATATGCCACAACTAACAATTGCTAGGATCATTATTGATTCTTGCCGAACACCTTCTCTACCCATTTCTTCTGAATTAATCATGCACTGTGATTGTTTGAATAATAATATGTGAGGGTCGAAGCCATTGCAATCCACGAATTTTTCTATCACCTCTCTGATTACAACCTTTAAAGCGAAAAAAGGAGCTAGAACGAAAAATGTAGATATCATAACATACCTATCACTATTCAGGTCATGTTAATCTATCGTTACTAACTTTAACACTTCCCTGGATATTCAAGGATGAGGATAGCTAATCTTTAGTTTAATCTATTGAGTTAAGGTTGCACTTTCCCCCCCACACTAGAGGAGGATCGGGTTAAATTTATGATGGAGTGGTGACGCCCGGGGGAGGGAGGAGTCGGGGGGGGGGGGGGGGGGTGGGGGGGAGAAGAGGTGGAGAGGGAGGGAAAGGGGGGGAAGGAAGAAGAAGTGAAGGGGAGGGTGTTGGGGGGGTAAAGTGGGAAAAAAAATAGAAATAGTACTCATCCAACCATAACTATTAACCTTTTTTTAAAAAATCCTAATCTAAAGAATAAAACCAAACCCTATAGACTACTTTCAATATGAGTTTTTGACGTATTTTGTATTCAAAAAGTGGAATATCCTAATGAGGGATAAATATTGCAAAAGTTTGTAGAGTGATCACGTAACCCTAAGATGCAAGGATTTTTGTTTGAAAAATTATCCAACGCAAAATTATATCAATCTATAATCAGGTGTAATAGCACTATGCTCAACTGTGTTCCACTTGTCCTTGTTACGCACTACTGTAACGCGTTAAAGCTGTAACTTACTCACATACCTATATAACCCATGGGGGTCCCGAATTTCAGGGGAAACGCGTTAATCGGCCTGAACAGCCAGTGTAACACCCTTAGCATATGCAAACTCGTAGAAATTCCGGGGGCCGGGGGCAGGGTCGGGGGGGGGGGCCGGGGGGGGGCCTTGCTGAAGCTTTGATATAATTTTTCGTTGGATAATTTTCAAACAAACAATCCTTCCATCTAGTGACGTGATCCACTCTACAAACTTTTAGCACATATTTATCCCTCATTATATTATTCCACTTTTTGAATCCAAATATCAAACTCCTATTAAATATTCTATAGTGTGTTTGTTTTATTCTTTTGGATAGGATTTTTAAAAAAGTAAGAGTTATGGATTGATACGAGTATGATTTAAAAATTAACAAAAAAAACAGCCCTTAAGTTTGTAATTTTATAAACACCTTTCATAAATATTAAAAATTAACAAAAACACCCCCACCCATTAAATACCGACACCAATCACCATCGCCAGAGGTGGTCGGAGTCGCCATATCAGTGCATGATCGGTTAATCTGTCTAGTGATCGTATCTATGGCCTTTTTCGTCCATCTACTGTGGATCTGTCCTAAAAATGTCAGATCTACAGCTAGATTTGGCTATGACACCAAATCTCGCCACATTTGGTTGTCAACGACGCGCAAGTATGATGTTGTTGACGCCAACTATAGCCAAAGATCTAGCCATCAACAGCCAGATCTTTGGCCGAAGATCTGGCCGAAAAAAAGCTAGATCGACGTATTACCGGCCAGATCTAACTATTAGTGCGCCGGAAGGTGATCGAAATCTGGCAAATGTGAATGGATAGGGGTATTTTATTAATTTCTAAACTTTTTTTTTTTTAATTAATTAACAAACCTAGGGAGTTTAAAAATAATTTAATAAAATAAAATGAGATTTTCAGAATAGAAGAACAATGTGTATTTTGAGATAATAGTGATAGGATAGTGTAAAAATACTGAAAATTTATTTTATATGTATCAGTTGGCAACAAAAACTTAGTTTAGGATTGTTGTACTTCCCAAAATTATTTATGGGTCTACTTTTGAAATATCAACTTTAAAAATAACCCAATAGAGTGTTTGTTTTTCTTAATTTAAAATCACTTTTACTTTTAAGGGATAATATATTACAGTGCAAAAGATCAAAACAGGTATATTTTGAATTAATTTTTTTATTATTAAAATATATAAAAATTTCAGTTCTTAATAAAAAAGTTTGAAATTTAAAAAAAAATTAAAAAAATTGTAACTCTAGCCATGGTGGCCGACTGCCGTCGACGAACATGAATGTGCACCGCGACACCATTAAGGTCACAGATGCAATCATCCATGGTGTTGCAATTTGTTGAGATCTGGCAGCATTAAGCCCCAACAAGCCGGGAAAGTTTCAGTCAAAGTGTCCGGCTTATTGCTGCTGGATCTTAAAAAACCACCACATCTTGGCGTTGATCACTGCTGGCGATCTTTGTATTTTATTTTTTTTGGTTAAGTTACTTAAGTAGATCACAATGATGCCAATGGTATGCATTCACTTGCCAGCAACGGCAGCCAACCAGTTTTCAAAATTTCAATTCTAAAATTGTAGTTATTATTGTAACTTAATCTCATTCCACAAAATTAATCTTCATATCGATGACTCGAACAAGTACGCATCAATGTAAAAATTCCGTTCATCTACAAGCAATTATCATTTTAATGTATAAATAATCGAACAATAATCTAATTATACGAAATTTATAACTGAAGAAAATATATTTGTAAACAATTTTAATAATCCCTGGTAAGACAGGGCAAGTGAACATCCTCTGCATCACCTAGTAACTCTGTAACCCTAAAAATTGGGAAAACCAAAGCAAAGATCGATGTCACATAAAAATCAAAAGGTAGACTTCATTGTAATTATTATGATTAATATTTATGTAGAAATCTTGGTTTAAAACTTCATCACAACGTGCCAGAGTCTCACACAATAGGATGCAAAATAAAGGGCATACCTTAACACGTTTCAGCAGATCCTGGGCATTAGCATCATTTTTGAAATGATCTCGTACAGGCTACAGAGATAACAGTAAAAAAGTTGAGCACAAGAGCAATATTAGATAAGAAAAGAAATCGTAGCTAATTTCCGGTAGTCTGATTAAGTTGAACCAACCACTCACATCCAAAACAATTTCACGATTCTTATAAACACTATAAAACTAGTATCAGCTGAATGTTGACCAACAATAGATTTTTGTTTCCATTGATAAATTTATTCATATATCTATATAAAGCAAAGCAAAACATGTCTCTCTTTACAACATGATGAATGACAAAAAGGCGACTTGGCTGATCAATGGACTATTATATCCGGTTCCCTAAGTTTAGGCCATCTACAGTTTCTTTCTGCAATATCTAGAATGTAAACACTATCATTTAGGTCCTCAATAAGAAAAAGGTTTGAGTTAAAAATTTTCAGACGCAATGATTTTACTTAAAAGGATACAAAGGACCAATTCATTGTATAAAAGACAGAAACAAGCAAATAGAAATGCCCCAAGGGTTTCTCATGTATGTCACCCATTCTTTTGAAAAAAGAAAGAGAGAGATAAGGTAAAGAGAATGAAAGGTACTGATATAGAAGGAACAGACTATCCAACAAGGGCTTCCTTTCCTTTTTCAGATTTCTTATCTGTGTACGTAAAAACCAATAAGAGGAGATTCAACACAATTCCAAAACTTAAAAAAGCAAATTACAACTAAATGTTCAAACCCAAACAACACCGATACATACATCAAAGAAGTCAACCGCACAAACAAAACCATGTAAGATATCAACAAAAAAATTCAACCGCTAAAGCAATAAATGTTTTATTTGACCGGAACTTCCAGCTTTTCCCAGCCATCAACAGGAACTCAATAAAAGCAATCACCTGTAGTATTTATTTAATGCTTTTGCCAAAGCTGGTTTCAGGTCAGCAGATGTAACTTCTCCTCTTCATAGTCACAACAATTCTTCAAAGTTTGAAGGTCCTGGATTGCAATGGAATTTATGAACAAACGCAATGAGTGTGCCATTGGCTGAATAAAAGGGCAACTAAATCCCAAATTTCAAAGCTTTCATAGTGCTTATAATGCAATAAAAAGAAACGCTTCAACTAACATGGTCTATGCAAAAATAAGATTGCATTTAAGCAGTTCCCAACCTTAAATTAATCAGGAAGCAAAAAAAAAAAAAAAAAAAAAATCTCCAATACCAATATCTAAACACAAGACAAGGGAAAATGGAAGCTTTTAAATGGTAATGTAGTCATCAATAGATCTTACTTGTCACCACCATTGCCTGTACTGCGCTCCACCTGAAACTCATTAAACCATGGGAAGACAATGTATTTTATTTACTCTAGACATGGATTTCCTTCCCATCTTCGGGGACAGTATGCTCCCTTTATCTTTGAATTCACATCTGCCTGTGACCCAAACAAAGAAGCTTGTAGAAAAAAAAAAAATTCACAACATTTTAAATAAAATTGAGTTAAATCAAATGTCACTTGAGCTGTTCGTTTAGAAAACTACTTAGACCATGATACACTATCATGGTAATTTACTCTTGAAAACCAAATCTTACTGCTGTATCCTCCATGAAGATGGAAGATGATGGATCACTCTTTGACATCTTCTCTTGCCCTTGCTTAAGACCAGAAGCATATCTGCATGTCATAGATCCAACAGCTAGTAAAAAATTGAAAGGTGGAAAAAGAACCTGTAGGAATTTGAATATATTTAGAGGATTACGATGTGACAATATGATGGGCTTATTTTCCTCTTTATGTCATCACAGTTACTCTCTCGCAAGTCATTTACTTTCCGTTGATCCATGCCCAACTGACAAATATCAGCCTTTGAGATAAGAAGCAACTCATCAGCAACAGTAACTCGGTATAAAATGAGGATCACACAAAAAACATACCAGAATCAACAGACATATAATCTTATAGCAGTTTTCATGAAAACTCTACTAATAGTTTTCGCAAATCAAAACACAGTGAGATAAAAATAATTCACCTCTCTCTCTATCTAATGAAAAACTGATTGATATATTCAGAACAAGAGAATACGGTGTCACTCTTGCTCTGATTCTACTTACAGGATGCTTGGCCTTACTCACTGATAGAAAAGGTAAAACAAAAAAATTGCATTGCAGTGTGCCCTACTCTAATAAAAACTGCAGATAACATTCTTATTATAAAATCGACAACATCATATTTTAGAGAATGGAAAAGAACAAATAAATATAACGATTGGACGCATCCAAACAGTGGTGCGAGAGAAAATACTGAAAACTTTCAATAAATTTAAGCACTTGTGAGGAGTTAAGTCTAATGCCCAAAGGGAAAATGTTTAAACTATAAATATAAGCACCTTAGAAAATATGTCGCACATTGCATGCATGGGTAGAGAATCTGGGCTGCAGTCAACTCTTCCTGCTCACTACGACCCATAATCTGCCACACCTAAATAGGACGAAAATGTCATGTTTTGTTAGGGAGGACAAAACTTTCATGTTAAATGCCATCAATACCAAAATACAGGGGATCAAGGGTAAATAATTTAATTCGTATTCTACCCATTACTCTGGGAAGCTTGTTCCGGCAGCGATATCCATCACAATGCCAGTATCTTGTGCTCTATTGTTAATTTCTTCTGAAGACCACAGAAACTCAACCCCATTGAGATCCATCCCAGCAGCTTTCCATATCTCAATCAAATAACGTCCAACTGTTTGAATTTTTTCAAGTCACCTCCCATTTGTTGTTTAGCTGTGCAAACCAATCAGCAATCCAAATTTTCACTTTGCAACCAGCAGAGGTGAGCTTGTTGACATTGATTGTTTTCATAACACCCTGGTCACCCATCAAATGATAGTAAAACAACTCAGAAATTCTATTAAAAAACAAAAAAAAAAATAAAACTCTGCTTTAAACTCATCAACTATCCAGAAAGTGAGCTTTGGTAGGAAAAATTCAATGTTGCCAGGCATAAGATGTACAGTAAGCTGAAAAAAAAAAAAAAAATCTGAAACTGAACCGAACCGGGAAACCGGACGAAAAACTGGTTTTCCGGATTAACCATTTTTGGTTTCGGTTTACGAAAATGACCAACCGATTTTCCGGTTTGGCTAATGGTTTAGGGGCAATGTCAAACCGGTTTTTCCTAAAAGTTATAACTAAAATCCCTAAACTATTCCACTATTGGGTCGCTCTCCTCCACTTTTCTTTTTCTTTTTCTTTTCGTCTTCTTCTCCTTTCACTACTTTTCTCTTTTCTTTTCTTCTTTCCTTCCCTCCTTCTCCACTTTTCTTTTTCTTTTTCGTCTTCTTCTCCTTTCACTTTTCTCTTTCTTTTTCGTCTTCTCTCCCTACTTTTCTCTTTCTTTTTCGTCTTCTCTTCGGTTTGGAGAGGAGATTTTGGGTTGGTGGAGGCCAAACCACAACAACCACCAGGTGAAAGATGGGGGCACAGAAAGGGAAAAAAAGGGCTTTGCAGTGGAAAAGTGTCGCAAAGGGCGGCTGTTGCACGGCTATGAGATGGATCGTGGACAGCAAACGGCGAGTGGACAGCCGGTGGGGGGGTGGGTTTGTTGAGGAAAGTATGAGGGTTCGTAGAGTCTCTATCATTATGGGCACTTGGAATGAATTGACTGTGAACTGAAAATTTCCAGCAAATTGAAGGGGCTGGTTTACTTATTCGATAATTGGATGTGTATTTTTTAATTAGAACGGTCAGAAATTGTGGTACGTGTAGAGGTAAATGGATTATATTTAGAAATTAGAATTAGTTTCTGATTTAGGGGTAGTTTTATAAAACCGGTTTATAAACGGTTAACCGGTAACCGAACTGATATTCGGTTTGGTTAATAACCGTTCAAGGGATAATTTGGTCCGATTCAGTTTGGATTATCCCTTGAACTGAAAACCACGTTCGGTTTGAAAAGTGCAATCCGGTTCAGTTAATCGGATTTTCACACCCCTAAATGTAGAGCAAACATAAGATTAAATGAAAATCAATAACATGGTAAGAATCTCAACAAGCAGAAATCTATAAGAAAGATCGAAGATCTACATGTAAAAATGAATTGTTAAGTTTGCGATTTCCCAAATGAAAAAGAAAAAAAGCTAATCGTTTCATGAATGATCAGCAATGTATCTGAGCGTCATAAACTCTTTAGCGCTAAAAGTAATCAAAGATTGCACCTTAAGGCCATACAGCAGGTAAAAGGAAGAAAAATTTGGTAGCAATTTGATTCATCACAGATTTAAATTCATATACATCATGAGAAAACGTCTTTATCATGGTAACCATATATTCCCTCGAAAATTCAACAGAAACCAATGCTAAAAAATATAAAACAGTGAAGATTTTTTCAAAAATTCTCAACGCCTAAGATAGAATAAACAGATAAAAAGAGACCAAGGAAAAACAATTTACCAAAAAGAAAAGAAATTCCCAATTCCTTTAGATGCATCGCTACCTTTCTTCCTCTTAATTTGTCTGAAACTAACCCATCAATTATCCAACTAACTATAAGCCAAGCAACTAGTTTTACAAATCTGAAGAAACTAAATTGAATGGCAATCTGAAGCAATTGAATAAAACAGATACCTGAGCGATGTGCATTCTTCCCGATGGCTCAAACCCATCATAGCAGATAGGTTCAGGCTTCTTCATGGAAGATTCAACAACTCATCCTCCTGTATACACTCTTCCCGATACTCGCACAATCCGAAACCTCTCCTCTCCACTCATCCTAACCAATCATCAACACAGCACACAAAACGAACAAATACCGTGAACCACCAATGAAACACTCTACAAATACCTATAATTAAAAAAGAAAAAGGTTTCATTTTTCCATCAAATCTCAACATTTTTTATCTTGTTTTAATTAATTATCTTGTGGTTGCATTATAAGGATACGGAAAGATAAAACTACCATTTACCAATCATTTTGTTATTTTCAAGAATTACTACAATTCAATCCATGGTGAAAAGATTTACACATCTCAATCCATACAATCTTCACCTATCTAATTGAATCAAAACAGAATGTAGAGATTTGCAGAGAAATATACACTTACTGAGGAGTGGAGCTTGAGGAAGCGGAGTCGTTTTGGGAGTTGATGGAGAGAGAGTTGATTTGGGCGGAAGTGGCGTTGACTGGCGGCGGCGTCCGCCATTTGATCCCACCTGTGGAGAGTGTGAAAGAGATATATGGTTTTAGAAGACTGAGTTGTGTTTAATTAGCTCAGCTAGAGAAACTTCTAACTAAATTTACAAAGAGTTTTACAATTATGGGGTTTGTCGGGTTGGGGGAGGTGAGACAGCCAGGAGAAAAAAAGGGGGCCGCTGGCGGTGGGGTCTGGGGGAGGTGATGCGACGGGGAAAGAAAATATTGTGGCCGTAAGAGTGGTAAGATGGTGCGGGAGGAAAGAATGAGAGTGGCCGTGAGGAGACGTTGTGGGATTAGGTTTATTAAATCTCCAGCTGCAATTACTAATTACCCTTAGCCTGTTAAAATAAACTATGATTCGCATACTGTTGTCAGGGGCTAATTTGTTATTTTCGATACATGAGGGGGTCACTGTTATTTAGGATACCACAGGGGGACACCAAATTCATCAACAAATTACCCGTAGAATTTGGCTTGCTTATCAAAAAGTAAATGACCATGCATGATAGCTGAACACTGTCAGCTTAAAACTAGCAGACAACGAGACTTAGAAATACCATTTTATACACATTTATTTTTTTTATCAAAAAATAACTTTTTGTTCTATCAAATATGTTTTTTCTTCTTTATTATATCTTATCTTATTGGTTGATGACATTGATGTGTAAATTAAGCAATAGTACATGATATAGAAAGGATAGTATCAATTTGCAGAAACTTTTTTTAAGAAAATAATGGGGAAAGAACATAAATTCTTAAACACACAAAAAGTGGCAAAACAATTAGTTGCTGTTAAATTAACGGAAAATAATAAAAAGACATAAATAACCCTTAGCAAAATATTTTAAGGAAAAAAAAAATTTTCAGATTATTATAAAAACAATAATACTACACATCCAAAAAATTATTCAAAATTCACATCCCAAATGATGTGTAATCTTATGTGGTGTTAAGATGTAAATGAGGTGTTGATTTGGTGAATGACATGACAATACCAAATGATAAATTAGTATGTAATGAAATATAATAGGATTCTGAGAATGTGTTTTGAAAAATATTTTCTGGAAAAATTTAAATTCCTTTTTAACCCCCTATATTTGTTAATTTAACTAAACACCCTCCATAATAAAAGTAGGGCTGTTAACGAGCTGAGCCGAGTTTTTGGCTTAACGAGCTCGACTCGTCAAAAGGAAGAAGAATTCGAGCCGAGCCTTTAATTTCCTGACTCAGCTTGACTCGTAAAGAGAGAAAAAGATTTCGAGCATGGCTCGTGAGCCAACTTAACGAGCCAAGTTAGAGCCGGCTCCCTAGCCAATAAAAAGCATGCAATTTTTTTTTTAAATTGGGTGCATATTTTCTCTCTCTCATTTATTACTCTTTCTCTTTCACTTCTTTTCCCCTCTAATTTATTATTGATTTGTTTTCTTCTTTTCTCTCTCTCCAAACTACAATGGCTCACGTTTCTCTTTTTTTTTTCCCTTTCTTTCTCCCTGTTTCCCTTGCTCTCTCCAGTCTCTACCAACTCTAAAGTTAATCTCTTCCTCTTCTCTTTGTTACTTATTGCTTTTGGTTTTCTCTTCTTTTCTCTCTCTCTCTCTCTAATGATGCCTGAATTTCCTATTTTCTCTTTCTTTCCTTCTTTCTCCTTGTTTTCCTGCACTCTCCACCAAATCTGACGCCGACAACTTGCCTAAAATGGTTTGGTTTGGTTTGGTTTTAGGGGAAAGGATTTTAGTCGCGTTTTTAGGGATTTTAACATCGAGGTGTTCTTTGTCATTTTTGCAAAACTTTTTGTTTTAAAAAATTCAGTTTAATCCCCTATACTTAATAAAACCCCTAAAACGCCCCTAATAATTCGAGTCTGGCTCGGCTCGTGAGCCTAACGAGCCAAGCTGAGGCAGGCTCAAACTCGGCTCATACTCTCTCACGAATCAAGCCAAGCCGGTTTGATTCCAAACGAGGCGAGCCGTTAACGAGCCACACTCGAGCCGAGCCGAGCCACAAGCGGCTCGCCTCGTTGAACAACCCTAAATAAAAGTTTATAAATTAACAAAACACCCCCACCCACCCAACCAACTATTGTCGACAGTTGACTACCACCTTCAGACAATGGCCGGAAGTTGTCGAAATGGAGCATGACCTACTGGATCTAGTCGGTTGTGCGCCAATCTAGTCTTTTTCGGCTAGATCCATCATGGATCTGGTTGGAAATTGCTAGATCTACTGCCAAAGATTTGGTCGTTGACAACAACCAAAATTTTGGCCATATATCTAGCCGTTCTATCTAGATCGACGCACTACCGGTTACAGTGGCGACGTCCGATAACTGGCGGGTGACAATGGCTTGGGTGGGTGGGGGTGTTTTTGTTAATTTATAATTTTTTATTCAGAAAAGTAATTATTAAATGTTTTGAGTTAAATAGAATATGATTGAATTTTGAGTTGAAAAGAAAAGTTAATTATTTCATTGGATTGCATAGGATAATTAAAAAAAGCCTACCAAACATAGCCTGAAAACCTCAAAAAAAAAAAAAAAAAAATCCTTTAAAACTTAAAAGATAAATTTGTTAAAAACTTAAAATCAACAAATATATTCTAATATTTTCAATTATTATAAATTTGAAAATATTTTAAGAATGGGAGGAGAATAGGCATGGCAATGTTCCCCGGGATTTCGGGGACCCGTCCTGCCCCGCCCCATATGGGGCGGAGAAGCCCCGATTTTTTTGGGGATAGGGGCGAGGGTGGGGGGTGTTTTAATCCCCGTCCTCGGGGATGGGGCGAGGGTGGGTGATGCCTTTCCCCCAGCCCGCCCCGTATATAATATATAAAATTAAAAAAATGTATATATATATTTACTTTTCACTAATATCCCTATGTTTCACCTAATTACATAATTATCCTACTTATATAAACTCATATTTTCCTAATTTCCCTCACCCTGAACAATTGAACAAGAACAAACCTTGACCCATATTTATGTATAATTAATTATGTTTAAACGATTAATTTAAGTGTTTGTCATGTGGACGAGAATTAACTATTGTGTTTGGTAATGCTCAAATTAATTTATGTTTATATAAAATTAACGAGGCGGGAATGGGCCTCCAACATCCCCCTTTGGGACGGGGAAGGGGAATTCCTGTTATCCCCGTAACGGGGATGGGGCGAGGGTGGGGAATGATTTTGAGGGTAGGGATGGGTACGGTGAATGAGATCCCCGCCTCATTGCCATGCCTAGAGGAGAAAGAGGAAAATGAGGGGGAGAAACAAAAAACAAAAGATAAGAATAAGGGGGAGATGAAGAAAAATGAGGGTGAAAAGAATAAAAGAAAGAACAAAGAGGGGGAGAAAGGAAAATAGAGGAATTGAAATTACCGTCATATACTCATATCCTCTTATATTTAACAGAGGTTGGACGAAGTTAAGATTTCAAGGCTGATTGGTTAGTTTCTAGAATGGTTGGGGGTAATTTGATTCAAATCATAATAGTTCTCGAAACCCTGTATTTCTCAAACTGTAGGGGAGCTAATTGATTTTTACTGTTAAAATTAGAGAAAGCGTTTTTTCTGTTTCCATTTCCAAATCATGTTTCCTGTAATTTTCTTTTTCAGTTTTTCTACATTTGAGTTTTTTGTTCTCTTTTTATTAATTCAAACAATATTGATAATTTAATATATAATAATTAATGAATTATATAATAATATATAAGTAAAGGGTTGATCAGATAAGTAAGTGTTGTATGGGTTTAATGGATATTGTGTAGCTGATGCACGACTTCAGTTTAGTTTACAAGACTGCAGAAGAGAGATAGCCTTCACTAATTTTAAAGAGTTATACAAAACTTGTAATTACACTTAATAAGGTGAAAAGCCAATTTGGCTGGTTTCCAACATAAATTTTTATATAGGTACCCTAACAAATATTAGCTATTAAATCTATGTTATTCGTGGTTTAATACTAGTTTTAAACCACGAACACAAAAATGATACCAGACCTTTGACAATCATCAAATCGCTATTCACTAAAGAACAAAATATCAATCTACCAATTTGAGTCATAATCTGATTAACACTGGAGGGGCTTCAAACTTGGCACTTGTAGCACTTCCAACACCAAGCCCTCTTCATTTCTTAATCCTTTGCAGTTAAAAAAAAGTTGCCCATATCATTAATAACGCTGAATATATTATTTCGACAATGCGTTCTGAAAATCAGTCTTTGCTTTGTACAAATATGAAGACAAATAGTTATACATCATTCTGACAAACAAAATAAATAGTTAGTTCAAAGATAGAAAATGCACCCGAGCGAGGGTGTATTCTTTTCCAGCTATCCAAACACCAGTTTGCGACCACTGAACATCCTCCCAGTCAAGATTCTCTTCTATTACCTGTTCAACATCAAACACAAAAAAGTCGTTCAATTCATTGACTGTTCTTTCATAACCAGAATCTTTTATCCAATTCTTTTATGGAAAAGTGATAGAAAAGAGAGAATTCTTAAACAATAGTCAAAACAAAGTAATTTGGAAACTCTCCTACCATTCTTTTTTCTAATCATGCAACAAGAATGAAAAAGAGAATGTGAGATGAAGTACCTCCACATGTTCAAGGGGCAGTGGGATTCCAACCGAACGCATGACTTTTTGGGCAAGGGGCTTCTTGCAGCGAGACCAACGAAAAACATCAATCATAGCATTATCACCTTCGTTCTTTTCACCATTTGCAGAGTTTGAGTGATGATTCTGAGACTTATCAGTATCTGAATCATGTGACTGAGATCCTGCCACAGCTTTGACCATCTTCTCTCCCGTAAAACAGAGCTCATACCTTCAGATCACAACTCAAGATTAGAAAATCATCAAAAAGTATTAGTCACATGTACTTAAGAGGTTCCAGAAATTACTATTTGAAGAAAATTATATGTATGTGTAAATATATAACAGCTCTCTTTCAAACCACAACAAACAGGATAAATAACTGATTATTTCTGTTTTAGAGAGACATGAAAAATGAAAATCATTTGCACTCTCAAAGAACAAAAGGATTCAGAATTCAAAGGTGCATCTAGTTGACCATAGAAATATAGGACCAATCCAATTTTATCAACTTGGCAATTGTCCAAGGACACGTGTGAATCTTAAATTTGGAACTAGCTACTCCAGCAAAGAAAAAGCAAAAAGAATTTAAGCTAGGAATTGTTTGATTTTGTGCCACACATTACATGATGAGGCAAAGAAATTAATCTCATGATGACACAGACAAATCCAAGTATCATTTCTTACATTTGATATTTGTTGTATGAAGCATAAAAATTCTAATGACAATAAGACAAATAAAAAAGATGAAAACAAATGCTGAAAGCAACCACTTACAGAAGTTTATTAAAATAAGGCATCATTTTTCAGAATCCCAGATGAAATTAATCATGCTGCAGGAGCAACAAACGTCAAAAAGATGGGAAAAATTACCTGCATGAATGTGTTTCTAAATAAAGAACTTCTCCCTTCTTCAAACGTGCAGATGTATAAAGAGGCTTTTTTAGTCCTTTATCAGCAACGATACTTATACTGTACTTAATCCTGAATAAGTTTGCAAATAGTAAAATTAACTTGAGCATTGAAGGGATAAAAAGAAAATTGTAAACCAAAAATGAAATAACAAAAACAATAACAACAAAGTATAACATAAATAAATGTACATAGGACAAGTAGAAATGTATTCAGCCATAGCACAACTAAAATTTAAAAATTAGCAATGATATACACAATATGATACATATGTTGTCACTGAAAACTCAAAATTATAACAGTGCATAACATTAGAACTGTAGTCGTATATGTATTTATGGGAAGAAAAGAGAGCTTAAATTTAAATTTTACCCCATAGTGATGTGGGATTACACAAAGAAGATAAACTCTTTCATAAACACACCATACATATCTAAAGAGAGAAGTACCCGTAAGATCTCAAATAAAAGATACAGAAGCAAGTGCGAAAAATTAAATTTAAATTACTTTTCTCTTAGACTTACAACTTCAAAGTAACATACGATTTTTAGGCCAAGCAAACTATGGATAAGGAAAACATCAGTTATAGCTATGAACTATAGGTTTATACCCGAATATTAAGAATAGGCTGAGAAAGTCTTCTTCATGCAGGACTACAAAAACTCAACCCATCAGAATAAAACTTTTACCAAAATAAACCTACAAAACTTAGCCCAACCCCAATCCCATATTATATAATCAAAATGACCCAACTAGAAATTAAATTACAAAACCAAAAACCATTTTTATTCAAACATAAATTCATCTTTCAAAACAAATTAATAGTCCTAAGTCTTCTTTTGAAGTTCCTAAAGCTTTTTGCATCAAGAGTTCCTTCACGGATCTTTGCCAACATTTTTCAAAAATAAAATTATTAAGAAAAAAAGGGCTCACTATTTGCTTTGTTTCCTTGTCGAGTTATAGCTATTCATTCGATTATTACTCCCACCATTGGCTGCACCATTAACATGATGAATTACTTTTCTGGTTGTTGCAACACTTCATATAACTGAGCCAAAAACCAATCTAATTGTAGAAGCCTAGGGTGTGGTAGGTTTTCTAGTTCCGTTGCATGTATTTCATTTTTTTCTTCTTCTAAATCTTCAACATGCATCTTGGTTTTCTATTTCAGAAAAAATAGAAAATCTTGTTTTCTCCATTATAACTAAATAAAAAGGGAAAACAACTATCAGCCCAATTGTCAAAATCAGACAACACTTTTGAGTTGTTTTATTTTTAATAATTTTCCATAAATATCTCTCATTTTATTTCTAAAATTATTAAGAAAGTTAATAACGTATCTAAATGATTATGAATTGAAAATTTAAAAAAAAAAAAAAAAAAAAAAATACTCAACCAAAATATCTTTGTTTTCAGTTTCAAAATATTGTTTTTAGACAATGATAACAAACAATTCTCTAGTCTTGCAAAATACAATTTTCATCTCTTGCTATTCTTTTGACAGAATATAGAACATGAAGATATAATCAAATGGCCCCTACGAATTTCAAAACCCTTATTTGTCTCCAGTTCTAACAGATTGGCAAAAAAAAAAAAAAAATTGCATAGCATCAGTTATAATACTTAAATCCAAAATACTGAAGCAATCAAAACATCATGTCAACTAAAAGGTCCTACATATATACCTTGGGATGCTCAGGTCTTTGATTTCAGGAGAACAGTAGTAGCATAAGTTCACTCAGAATTAGAAAGAGTGTTTTCGTAAGAGAAAAATATGCTTACAGACCCAAATACACAGTGACACATCAATATGTATTATATCTATATGAAATCAAACAGATCAATATCCTGAAGTATCCATCTTTCAATTCAAAGAAGGCATATGGCACCCCCAAGATGTAACTGAGCAGTAACTATCATCTTCTTTGCTGGGTATTCTTAAGTCATAGAAAGGAAGGTCCAAATAACATTTTCCACATACAGTCATAAAAATACTCCTAATGCTGCATGGAAAATATTTTACCTGGCTTGTTACCATCATTTAATCTACTGTTAATCAACATGCTAAAAAAGAGACAAAGGTCTTCAGAATAGACTATATTAATCCAGAAAAATCGCAGACACAAAGTCGTGTGCAGAAGCAAAAGCACCTTCCGCCAGAACATTGAAACAGAATAGTAAAACATCCTAGAATTTGGAAAGAGATACCAAGCCCATTGAAAGACCTGAAGAATGATCTATTATCAGGGAGACATCACCATGGAAACACAACCACAGGCACAAGCATTTCGTAGTATATAGATTTATAGGGTAGATCCACTTATTATAACTCTAATTTTGAAAAGAGAAAGACAAAATCTACATACAAACCCGATGAAAAACTTAAGAAACCNCAAGAAACCTTTGCCCCTGTTGCCAAAATAAATTCAATTCGTATTTTGTTATCCCTTGCAGTACAGCTTGACTGGAGTTTACATCAATTAGATGTAAAAAATGCATTCCTTAACGGGAAATTAGAAGAGGAAGTGTTTATGGAGCTGCCACCCGGATTTGAGGAGGAACTTGGCAAAGGTAAGGTCTGTAAACTAAAAAAGACCTTATATGGCCTCAAGCAATCGCCAAGGGCATGGTTTGAGCGTTTTAGGAGTGTTGTAAGAAGTTATGGATATATCCAAAGTCAAGCAGATCATACAATGTTCTATAAACACTCTAAAGAAGGAAAAATATCTGTCTGATTGTTTATGTTGATTACATTATATTGACAGGGGATGATGTATTAGAGATTGGCAGCTTAAAGAAAGCTCTTGCTTTTGAATTTGAAATTAAAGATCTAGGTGAGTTGAAATACTTCTTGGGCATGGAGTTTGCTAGATCAAAAAGTGGTATTGTTGTGTCACAACGCGAGTATGTCCTAGACTTGCTTAGTGAAACTGGTTTGCTTGGTTGTAAAGCTGCTGAGACTCCCTTAGAACCTAATTAGAAGCTTCTTCCTGCTAAAGCTGAAGAGGTAATAGACGTAGAATTGTACCAGCGCCTTGTGGGATGCCTAATTTACCTCTCTCACACACGACCTGATATAGCATTTGCAGTGAGTCTTGTGAGCCAGTATATGCATGCTCCAGGTAAGGAACACTTTGAAGCAGTGTCTAGAATCCTAAAGTATCTAAAAGGATCACCTGGAAAGGGACTATTATTCAAGAAAACAAGGCATTTACAAGTGGAGGCCTACACAGATGCGGATTGGGCTGGCAGTGTAACTGATCGAACATCCACTTCAGGGTATTGCACCTTTTTGGGAGGAAATTTAGTAACTTGGCGGAGCAAAAAATAGGCAGTGGTGGCTAGAAGAAGTGCTGAGGCAGAGTACAGAGCTATTGCCCTAGGATTTTGTGAAGTCCTTTGGATTAAAAAGATCCTAGAAGAACTGAAAATTACCAATCCACTACCAATGAAGTTGTACTGCGACAACAAGGCTGCTATTTCAATATCACATAATCCAGTGTTACATGATCGAACAAAGCATGTGGAAGTCGATAAGCATTTTATTAAAGAAAAATTAGACACTGGAGTACTATGCATGCCTTATATTCCTACAAGTGAACAAGTGGCTGACATTCTCACAAAAGGATTGCCTAAAAAGCAGTTCGAAAATATGGTGTGCAAGCTGGCCATGGAAGACATATTTAGACCAGCTTGAGGGGGAGTGTTGGAAGATTTTGATTCTTTGACCAAATCTCCTTAATTTGGTCAGATCATTCTATCTTTGCTAAGTGTATATTTGATGTAAATATAGTTTATTTCTTTCCTAGTTAAGCGGATTGTATCTTTAGCATTTAAGGATATTTCCCAACTTAGTCTATTGTAAATACTATAAAAAGCTGTACTGCTATTCGTGAAATAATAAGAAAAACATTTTTCTTCTCTGCCCTAAATTCTAGACACTAGTTATGATAATTAAGCTATTAAAACCTCGTGTCAACTAAAAGGTCCCACATATACCTTGGGATGCTTGGTTACAGACCCAAATACACAGTGACACATCAATATGTATTATATCTATATGTTATCAAACAGAGCAATATGCTGAAGTATCCACATTTAAATTCAAAGAAGGCATATGGCACCCCCGAGATGTAACTGGGCAGGAACTATCATCTTATTTACTGGGTACTCTTCAAGTCATAGAAAGGAAGGTCCAAATAGGTTAATAACATTTTCCACATACACAGCCATGAAAATACTCCTAATGCTGTATGGAAAAGAAGTTTTAACTGGATTGTTACCATCATTTAATCTACTGTTAATGAACATGCTATAAAAGAGACAAAGCTCTTAGGAATAGACTATTAATCCAGAAACATCACGGACAAACTCATGTGCAGAAGCAAAAGCACTTTACTTCAGAACATTGAAACAGAATAGTAAAACATCCTACAATTTGGAAAGAGATACCAAGGCCATTGAAAGACCTGAAAAATGATCTATTATCAGGGAGAATCACCCCAAAAACATAACCACAGGCACAAGTATTTTGTAGTATATAGAACTTATAGGGTAGATCCAGTTATTATTACTCTAATTTAAAATACAACGACAAAGACTACAAACAAACCCGACTTCAGAAACCCAAGCAACAATTATAGAAATGAAGATCTTAGGTGTACCAGGGTTCATTGCAAAGGTTGTACTGTATTGTTACTTCCCGCACAAACCGTTGTTGCCGCAATGCATTCTGAAGAATAAAAGCCACTACGTAAGCCAATAACAATTTAATACACATAAAATGTAAAGACACGTGATGTGAAAAGAATATGTGATTCGAACCATAAATTTCTTTCCCTCCAGGCAGTTGATCAAAATATAAATAGAATAATGACAATAATGTATTTCTGATGGAAAAGCATAAAATCACATTCTAAAAGTCAAAGTAAACAGTTGAAACTATATGTAAATACGAACAATAAAGTATCATAAACCATCTTACAACTTATCACTTACCAACAGACAGCTTAAATAGCACTCAATACAATAAAAATATAGAACAGTTTAGAATGCTATTTACCAATCTCTATATTATCACATGCAAAGGTAGTATTAAGAAAGTATAAAGTTCTTTATCTATTATGTTTAATTCTACAATTTTTTATGCAATAAGCTGAGAGCCGAGTGATTTCTTACTCTCTACTTAAGGAAGCCTCTTATTTTTGTTGAAGTTTGACCTCTGCATGGATAACCATTCTCTTATACACCCCCTTTTTTAATTGGATTTCAAATAATATAGGCTTTGCTGATTTACAAGACTGGTTTCAGGAAGATCCCAAGTTCCTAGCTTTTGAAAGATTGCAATGTATCCCTCCCGGATTTGTTTTCTCTAATTCTTGTTTATGCAAAATCGTGAACACCCTCATAAAAGGGTATTATAATAATTTTAGTAATTAAGAAAGAATCTTCTAATTTATTTTCCAACAGGTCAAAGACACAAGTCAGGCTATAGGTTTCAGCAAAAGTAACAATGTTTTACAGAAATTTGTAGTTCCAACAAGCTCTCTTGTCAATCCACAAAGGTATTCTCGAACTGCAAATTCATACCCTAACGGACCAAGTCAGATAAGACAATGACGGGACCCCAGCAAATTCAATAAAAATTCACGCACAGCACATCCACAAAATCAAGAACAACTATGTAATCCAACAATATTTTGATTGAAGATCAAACAGTTCAGAGGACTACAATCAGACTCAACAAAACTAAAGAAAACAAGAAGGGAAAGTCCTAGCAATTCGAGGAGCTAGGGGCCTCCATTGACAACCTTTAAGAGAAAAATGATATCCCTAGTCCTAATTCTAACTGCCTTAATATACTAGTGAGCTTTACCCATTTTCCTGCCACGTCTCTTTCCTCTAACTGAATCCCACTGGCATAACAACTTTTAGATGCCAACTTTTAGAGACCACCTTTGCTGATGATTCACATGTCTCACCACCTTGTCCTCAAGGTGGAAGTGAGGAAACTGGAGGTTGATGAGGTCATAGGCTTCCCAAGTAGCTTCAAACAGGGGCAGGGTCTGCCACTTTATAAGCACTTCTGTGGTACCATCCATTAAGGAGCGGACTGCTAACACAGATTCGGGCTGGATAGTGAGTTCCAAGTCTTCGGTGAGGCCATGGGGAAGGGGCTGGATGGGAACAGAGTTGTGCAGGCTACCCTTGAGCTGAGACACATGGAAAACCGGGTGAATGCGAGCAGTAGAAGGCAAAGCCAACCTATATGCAACCTGTCCAATGCGTTCTACAACGGAAAAAGGGCCATAAAAACGGGGACCTAGTTTCTCATTATGTTTCGTGGCTAAGGACTTAAACCTATAAGGCTGGAGCTTCAAAAACACATGATCCCCAGGCTGGAAAGTCACATCTCGGCGGTGTACATCTGCACTCTCTTTCATATGCCCTTGAGCGACGGATAAATTATGTTTAAGTTCCGCCAAGATGGTGTTACGTTCGAGCATCTGTTGATTCACTTCCTCTACTGCTGATGGGCAATCTGTGAACTTTAGTAGAGTAGGAGGATCCCTGCCGTAGAGAGCCTTAAAAGGGGTCATCTGTGTGGAACTGTGGTACGTTGTATTGTACCAAAATTCTGCCCAAGAAAGCCAACGTGACCAGTGCTTGGGTTTAGAGCTACAAAAGCACCGCAAGTAGGCTTCCACACATCTATTCACTATCTCTGTTTGGCCATTTGTTTGTGGGTGGTGGGCAGAACTGAATTTCAGCGTAGTACCCGATGCCTTGAAGAGTTCTTGCCAAAATTGGCTAATGAAAATCCTGTTTCTGTCGAACACAATAGATTTCAGAAAACCATGGAGCCTTACAATTTCTGTTGAAAAATAGCAACCACCTCTTTAGCATTATAGGGATGGCAAAGACGGATGAAGTGGCCATATTTGGTGAGTCTATCGACTACGACGAGAATAGTATCATGCCCCCACGACTTAGGTAGACCTCCAATGAAATCCATGCTAATATCCTCAAATACCTGAGTTGGAATGGGTAGGGGCTGGAGAAGGCCTGCTAGTTTAAGGGCTGAGTGTTTATTGAGTTGGCAAACAATGCATCTTTTCACAAATTCTTGAACATCCCTCTTGATCCCTTCCCAAAACACAAGGCTAGCCACTCTTTTATACGTGCGAAAGAAACCCGCATGCCCGCCGCTTGGGCTGTCATGAAACTCCTCAAGTAGCTTCGGAATGAACTTGGAGAATTTTGGAAGCACAATTCTGTTTTTGTAAAGCAGACAGCCTTTTCGGGATGGTAGTGGGGTCTGCTGGTGGGGTTGAACAATAGATCCTGTATAATGGTTTACAGCTTTGGTTCTTGTTGAGCTTCAGAAGCTAATTCATCAAAGTCTGAAAACTGGGCCACGGATATGGCAGCTAGCTCACTTACCTCCTCTCGACGGGATAGTGCATCTGCTACTTGGTTGGAGGATCCTGGTTGGCAGTGAATTTCAAAAGAAAACCCCAAAAGCTTTGAAATCCACTTTTGCTGTTCGGGAGTCTTTACTCGCTGGTCAGTCAAGAACTTAAGGCTACGCTGATCCATCCGAATAATGAACTTGCGCCCAATGAGATAGTGGCTCCATTTGTGGACAACGAACACTATAGCCATGAGTTCCTGTTCATACACCGGTTTCTGCTTTGATTGACAAGAAAAAGCTTTACTAAGAAAGGCAATTGGGCGTGATTTTTGGACCAAAATAGCCCCCATTCCTTGCCCCGAGGCATCGGTATGTACTTCGAAGGGTAAATCAAAATCAGGCATGGCTAGCACCGGAACTGTTGTGGTTGTTGTTTTGAGGGATTCAAAGGCTTTTTGAGCTGACTCATCCCATGTCAAAGAGTCTTTCCGAAGGAGTTGTGTTAACGGTTGTGCGATCAAACCATATCCCTTGACAAAACGACGATAGTAGCCTGTGAGCCCCAAGAATCCCCTCAACCCTTTTATGGTACGGGGAGCTGGCCAAGACAACATCGAGGCAATCTTTTGCGGATTAGCTTCCACCCCTTTGGCTAAAATTAGGTGGCCTAAGTATTCAAGTTTCTGCTGTGTGAACAAACACTTCTTGCGATTGACTACTAACTCGTTTGCCTTAAGAATTTGAAAAACTTGTCGAAGATGTTCCAAATGGGAGTGCGAATCTGGACTGTAAATAAGTATATCGTCAAAGAAAACCAGGACAAACTTCCTTAAAACTGGCTTGAAGATGGTGTTCATTCAGGCTTGGAAAGTGGAGGGGGCGTTTGTCAATCCGAAGGGCATCACTAGGAACTCATAGAGCCCCTCATGAGTTCGAAAAGCAGTCTTCGCTATGTCTTCCTCTCTGACTCTGATCTGATGGTACCCGGACTTCAAATCCAATTTAGTAAAGATCGTTGCACCTGCCAATTCATCCAACAATTCTTCGATGGAGGGAATGGGGAACTTATCTGGTATAGTGAGGCTGTTTAAGGCGCGTAATCCACACCGAAACGCAAACTCCCGTCTTTCTTTTTCAATAGTAAGATAGGGCTGGAAAAAGAGCTTGTGCTGGGCTGTATTATTCCTGCTATCAACATTTCCCCAACCAATCTCTCAATTTCATTCTTCTGAACATAAGGGTACTTGTAAGGACGGATGTTAGGGGGTTTGGACCTATCTTGGAGAATTATGGCATGGTCTGTGGGTCTTTTGAGACATAGTTTGGTAGGTGGGTTAAAGACTTGGCTAAACTCTTCCACCACTTCTGAGACTCTGGGTCAATCTGTTCAACTTCGTTAACATTTTTGCTTTCGATGGAGCAGAATTCAACTACATACCCAGCCCTTGTGTTCTGTACAGACTTCAGCACGACTTTGAGTGATACCACGGTTTTGACTAACTCAAGATCTCCCCTTAACGTGACCTTCCTTCCTTCTCTGGCAAAAGCCATAGTCAGATTTTTCCAGTTAGCACACGTCTCCTAGAGTGCTCAGCCACGCAACTCCCAACACAATATCAGCTCCACCTAATTCAAAAGGAAAAAAATCTTGTTGTATCTCTACTCCCTGGATCTTTAACTCAACTTTTCTGCAAATTCCCTCTCCCCTAATCGTGAAACCATTTCCAACCATGACTCCGAAAGTCTTCCCCTTCTCCACACTCAATCCCAACTTGTGGACCAAGTCATGTGAAATAAAATTGTGGGAAGCCCCATTGTCAACAAGCACAATTACCTCCTCTTGTCTGAAGTCATCCCCACAATAGAGTGCATAGACAGAGCAAGAGGATTACCTTCTGAGGTTGGTTCATCATAGGCTTCCGGTGTTACTTCTTCTCTCTCAGCATCTTCTTCTTCTTCCAACATCAACAAAACCTGTAGAGATTTGTTCCTACACCGATGGTTGGGCCCAAACTTCTCATCACAACGAAAACACAATTCTCTCTCATGTTTATACTGGATGTCGGCCTCCGTTAACCGTCGGAACCCATCACTTTTGGCTGGCGTGGTTCCTCCCCTCTCCTAGCTTCGGTTTTGCGATCTCACCCCATGCAAATTTTCTGCGTTTTTCATCGCAGTGTTCCACCCATTTGAGTGGTTCAGATCTGGATTTGAAGACACCCGTGGGAAACAATCTGGTTTGTGGGTTTGATTATGGGTTTGGGCTATGTGGGTTAAGTGGGTTCTATTAAATCTGGGCTTGATCTTTTCTAAAACCCAATTTCTTTCTTCAATACAATGGGCCTGCTCAATTAATTCTATTAATGTTTTGGGCCTGCACAATCTCATTTCAGCCCTTAATTCCTCCTTCAGCCCATTTGAAAAAATTCCCATAAGGAGGTCTTCTCCTACCTCATGCAAGGGAGCTGACAGTGCCTCAAATTGTTCCCTGAACTCAGTCACAGTTCCCAACTGTTTCAGCGCTACCAGAGCCTCGTAAGCTGTCCCCTGGTGCAATGGTCTGAAACGTTCCACCAGCGCTGACTTGAAGGAGCTCCATGATAGAATCGCTGCTCGGGTGTCAACCCATTGATACCAGTTCAACGCGCGTCCCTCCATGCAAACAGCAGCTGCATCCACCTTTTCTTCTTCCTGAAATTTCTTCATCTAGAAATATCTATCGGCTCTGAAAGTCCATCCTAGTGGATCTTCGCCATTGAACACAGGTAATTCCAGTTTTTTTACTTTGCGCTCTTCTTTACTGTTTTCAATTCCCTTCAGTCGATCAAGGTTATTTGATCCTTCCGGTGTTTCACTTCCTGCCTTATCAGTGTTCTTACTTTCGCCTTTCTCATCTCTATTCCTCGTCCATTCTCGAAGCTCAAGGAGGTAACCCTTAATGCTCCCATTTCTTCTTTCATGTTTCCCATCTCCTTCTCAATTCCGATAACTCTCTGTTCCATTTTTGCTTTTACCATTACCCAAAACCTTGGCTCTGATACCAATTTGATGGGACCCCAGCAAATTCAATAAAAACTCACGCACAGCACATCCACAAAATCAAGAACAACTATGTAATCCAACAATATTTTGATTGAAGATTGAACAGACTCAACAAAAGTAAAGAAAACAAGAAGGGAAAGTCCTAGCAATTCGAGGAGCTAGGGGCCTCCATTGACAACCTTTCAGAGAAAAATGATATCCCTATTCCTAATTCTAACTGCCTTAATATACTAGTGAGCTTTACCCATTTTCCTGCCACGTACTCTACTGCCACGTCTCTTTCCTCTAACTGAATCCTACTGGCATAACAACTTTTAGAGACCACCTTTACTGATGATTCACACGTCTCACACCCTTCTGCCCTTGTATTGATAAACCTTATTGATAGGGGGCCTATCAGACAACAATTTAAACAACCTACAATTCCCAAGTAGCACAAAGGATGACCCAGAAGAAATAGCAATAAAACATAAACAATAAAAAATCAGCCGAAATAAGTCCACTGGTTTATTCAAGAAGATAAAAGGCAGTCTAAATAACCAAAAAAATGCCAGTTGAAATAAACTTCAATCATAAATTAATTACTGGAACAAACCCCTATAATTTCACAATAAAAGAAGACTACAGCATCTTAAGTTTTTTCTATAATGCAAAACTATTATCACAAGTCAAAACCTGCCATAAGTGTAACAATGTAGCTTATTATGAGAAGAAAATTTTGAAACCCACAAAAATTATGATTTGCACACCGCATAAAAATAGTTTATAAGTTTCAGATAACCTTTGTAGCTCATACCCTATATAGATATAAATGTCCATCACTGGATCACATCTCAGCAGGTCACTCGATTGTTATATATATATAAAACGCTAAATAATTAAAAAGTGTGTGTGTGTGTTAAAACAGCCCTGCCTTTCAAAATACCATATCAAACAGGCACTCAGTCAAAATTTTAAATAATTCAATAAATGAGAAAAAGTCTAAACTGTTTCCATTGCATAGCTTCATGAAAGATTATACATGATATATGATGAGTAAAGAGCTGCATATGACAAAAAAAAAAAAAAAAGAAGTCAACTACAAAAAAGATAAAATTCCACTTTAGATTAATAAAAGATTGTCATGTAATACCGAAGCTGCAGCCCTTGTGGTCATTGTCCGTTCAACTGCCACTGGAGCAAGGGTAGGCTCCACTGTTGATGAATGTGTAAGACAAGGATCCAGATCAATGGTTCCACCTCCTTTCTGAAACCAAAATAGACTCACAGATAAATATGTATGACTCCACAAAATTTGAAGGAGAAACAATATCATAACATGTAAGACAAGACTCCAGATCAATGGTTCCACCTCCTTTCTGCAACTAAATAGACACAAAAATATGTATGTATGACTTTAAAAATTTTGAAGGAATAAAAATATCATAATGGTTTCTCCCCACTAAAATGCTCTCAACAAAACAGTAAACAAAAATAAAAATAGGGTATTTAGAATCCAAAGGAACTAGAAAATATGATTAACACTCGTAACAATAACAAATTTATTCAACATCTCATCTCTAACAGAATAAAACAGCATTATCATTAAGATATTTCTAATGCAGAAAAGACAGAGATAACCAGTTTGTCACCTTCACAATGCAGCACCTTTCAACACGATAACTACAACCACTTCCAGCCCCCCAAGCACGGGAACGTACATTATTTCTTTGTTCAGATGTGTAACCTAGCTCAAACATTAAAGGTTAAGCATGAGTTGTGATGGAAATTGCAGAAGTGCAAAATGGAAAAACAAAAGCTTGACTTCTAGCTAATTAGACAGAAAGCACATTGCTTATATATATATATACAGGTAATTCCAGACCAATAGCATACAAACTAATAAAATGGTATCCAACACCCTCTACAAGCAATGAAGTAACTTTCTCAACAATTTTTTTTTTTCTATTATTTATAACCATAAACATGAAAGTTGTGCTTCAACTTGGACAGTGCGAGATAAGGCAATTCTAAAAAATCTAGACATGAAACCACAGTAATAAAAATGAAGATTGGAGCATTTAAAGTATTAAACATATATGCTAATATATGCGTGTTAATTTGTTTACAAGAAAATCAAAGACAGAAAAAAATCAAACGTTGAAGTAGAGATAGGGCCATATAAATTTTGTCGAGCACTCCTAAAAGTATTAAATATATTTTAGGCAAATAATCGTGCCTTCTCCTATATATGAGGATAAACATGAATGTCTATCTTCAACTCAAAGGCCCAACATTGCGACTTCTCTAAAAGATAAGTGTCCAAGAATCATAGCAAAATTAGCAATGTGAATGACTATAGCCAACCATACCACAATTTTTATATTATAGATCTCTTAACCATGAGCACACACTACCATAAGCTTCTAAAAGGACTGATGAATGAGTTACTTGCCTAGAAGCTAATGTTATGACTAAGTCTTGAAAATTACGTAGCTGATATGATGAACTTTTCTGGGTAATTTGGAACAAGTGAAATAGCAAGCTTTTTGATGCTCAAAGAGAGGAAGACACCTTTATTCTTGTGGATTAAGTTCGATCCTTTGCTTCTCTTTTTTGGGTTTCAGTGTCAAAAGAATTTCAAGATAATTCTTTCATCTTCATAAATTTTACTTTGGAGGGATGCAAGGTAAATACATGTGTCAAAATAGGTCGTGTTATTGAGAGTTGGATGGTATAGTTGGCTTTTTGACAGTTTTCAACTTTGCACATTCTCAGTACAAAGATCGCAAAAATATTTTTGCTTCTGTAACCTAGACATATTTTACTGGACTGAGCGTGAACTTTTGAAAATTATCCATTCTATTAATAATATTATAATGGTCTCTTGTCAAAACAGACGCACACACAGAATAGGAATAGAGATTTTATAAGGACAATTCCCAATGAGGATTATGCAATAACTTCGAGCAAAACAAATTCTCCACCCATATATAGACCTTCAAATCTTTCATTATCCTATCATTTTGTAAAGCACATAATGACATAAACAAAGGCAATCTAGCTCCAGCAATGTGCAAGCACACAACTACTAAGACTCAGAGTCACAAGCCAAGGCCCAACAATAAAACTTATCAGAAAAGCTGAAGAAAGTGTCAACTCCTGATATTCCAGATTCAACTTCAACAAGCACTTAAGCAAAAGTCAAGGTCTAAAATACATATTCTTACTGTCACCAAATCAGCATTGATACAATTGTCAATCTTATTTTTATATTGCCAAATCCAAACTGAACACAACCCTGCTACACATGGATGCCAGCTAGAGGACATAGATGTGAAAAAAATGCCGACTCAGAATATATCTTTCTTAACTCATGCAATGCCTAGGTTGAAAATACAATTTGGTTATATTTTCCAAACATTAGCATATAAACAAAAGGAAGTTAGGAAAAATATGGACTCACAATCTTGAGGAGGTAGTACTTGGATTGTTGCACGAAGCTCTTGGATAGCAGGTGGAGGAGGATATGCAGTGGGGCGGCAGTAGCCCGTGTGCATGAGAACTGGAAAACAAGATCCCCAGATCAATTCTAGAATTTAGACACCACCAAATTTTAATATTCACACATTGAAAAGATTATCTCTAATCACTTCTTCAAACACCACATACCAGCAACAAGATCAGAGTCATCTGTGTATGTATCAGTCCCCCATAGTTGGCCACCTCTGACCTGAACATAATTAACTTAGGTAACTGAGAAGTGTGGTAACAACATTAGCATCTGTCAGTGCTAACGAAAAGTATGGATTAACAAAATGCAACATGCAAGGCTACAACTAGCTGCAGTGAAGTGTGCTACTTCTGCAATACGTTAAAAAAGGGGAAGAGGGGAGAAGTAAGAAAACTAGTGCACCCAAGAGAGCTAAGGACTCCACCTGCCCTTTAACTCACTGATAGAAAAATACAAACACCACAGAACCTTATGAAATTTTGGAATACTTTTCAAGTGTTTAAAGCACTTGTATGATAAGGAAAAAAAGAAATTTCCAAAAGTTCCAAACATATTGCAATCAAAACATCTTATCATTTATTAATTGACCTAAAAGCTAGCAGCACAAACACATCCATAATAGGAAAGAGAATAGATTTACCAAAGGAAAAAGCACATCACATACTAAAAAGTTTACAGATAATTCATCCATTCCATATTAATATAAAGTAGCTTGATCTTACTTGGCGATTTGTGGCAGTAACATGCTCAGCTGGTATCCGGATTTCAAGAGTGGGACCATTAACAGAACTTTCACCATTTTTATCAGCTTGAGATGTTTCATATTCCTTCCATAACTTTACCAGTTCTTGCATGCACTCACCAACTTTATAAACAACAGAAGATACTTCGGATTTACCTGAAACACAAGCAAAAAAATAAAATATGCAGCTGTAGAAGAAAAATCATGTAACTCCAAAACCATAATGACAAAAAAATTTATGCTCCATCACAGAGCACAAAATGATCAACTTCCACCAAATAACAAATGTTCAACAGTGCACATAACAAGTTATGATGCAAACAGCACAAAAAAAGACGGAAAAAGCTGTATAATTCATTGTCAGAGTCGATTTAATAAAGCCAGTAGTGAATGGGGGAAGGGCTGAAGTCTATTAGTTCTTAAACTGATTAAAAGTTATACTTACTAAAATGCATCCAAAATGAGAAAACAAAAGTTAAAAAAAAAAAAGAAAAAAAAATTAAAAACAAACTAGTTACAACTTACAACCAAGAGAGTATTGACACAAAGTCTTTGGAATTTTTAAAATAATATGGATTAATTCAATCCATCAGAGTCTGGCAGTTAACTAATTCACAACCACCAAATGACTAACCAGATGTGTCAAAATTGTATAACAACACAAATTGCTATAAGCACACATATCTTTGTAATCTTGTAAATCTTCTTCCAGAAAAATAAACTTTGCCCAAGTTAAACATTCCCGGCACCCAAAATAAGCAACACTGCTCGAGCTCAACAAGAGGGAAATGCACAGCTTACCTTGAGATCTGCAAAAGAAAGAAAGCAGAAATAATTTCAGTGAGTGTACATCTCCTTGGAAAAAGAATGGAACTAAAAAACTTCCAGCCAACAAGAGAGGGTACATATCAGATTTGATGTTTGCATTATACAATCCATCCAACTAAATTGATGATATTCCAAAATAAGTCCAGGATAATATTCCTAATAAGTTGAGGATCAAGGCATCCACAAGCTGCAATTTTGAAGCTTATAAAATTTTTTATCTTATCCTCAGTGATGGAAAAGTTAACAATGAGGTGCATTTATTCATTTCCTATCAAAAGGTCCATATCTTGTACAGGACAAAATATTTTTATTCTTTATCCTCCTAAAATTCTCACCTGTGTACAGTATTAGGTTATTGAATCTTAGGAGTACATGAGAAGATTACCATATCTTGAAGGTGAAGTGAAAAGCATGAAACTGCAATGCCGAAGCAGCCTAAGAGTATGAACTATTCATTGATTTGGCATTTTTACAGAAATACCACCAATTCTTAAAGTTAATATAATAGTTTCTAGTCTCTGAAAACAACGTACCAGTAACCTTTTGGATATCCTCAAGCAAATAAAGTTACTTATTTCGTTTACAATATCAATTGTGTCCTGGTTGCTTATCAGATTTTCAGCACATTGGCCTTAACTGCGTTCAGCTGCTTACATCAGCGGAGAGAACTAGTGATATAAATAGTGACTCCAAAACCGTAAAACAATTGGCTATAAGACTTAAAAAATATCTTTCAATTCTTATTGTGAATTGCAACGCTAAATAGATCCAAGATTTTCTAAAAGTGACTCCCAATGTATTATTGTTAGAATTGCAATTATAATGCAAACATTTCATCAGCATTTTCTTTCACAATATGATGTAAGTTAGGAATTTAAATTATATTTTATAAGTTCTTTATTAAAAAACTGGGTGTCAGCTGATTTCTACAGCTTTGGGTGTAGTTTCAAGCAGCAGGTTAAGTTTTGAGTAATCCTTTTCCCATACACTTAATTCTTAAGATAAATGCTCATTCATAGTATCTCAAACAGAATGCCTGATATAGCCTTCCAAGAAGTTACAAAACATAATATAAAAATTTTAAAACAAACAAATACAACTTCCTCCCTGGCTTATAACTATTCAGAGCATTCTTTGAATTTTCAGGACAAACAGCCATTAAGGCTGAGGGTTGCAACTCCTGTTCATTATTCAATGAGAAGTATTGGGTGAGGGTTATTACAAATCTTACTTAAACCCCACTAAATAATAACTCCTCTTCATGACTTTCACATTAGTTCTTCTCCTTGTTCTTTTTTAATGGACAAAGAGTTTTGGTCTTGACTAGGTCTTAGGTTTGATTTTCTGGTACTGTCCCACTCTTCAGCACATGTTTGCATATAGTGGCTTCTCTCAAGAGTTGGGCCCAAGCAATTGCACATACCATTCCTATACTTTTACAATTACACCAGGGTAATGGCCTCTAATTGATTCATGTGTAACAACAAACTTAAACTCAAAATCCAAGTAATTGGCCCTAATTATAACTGTGAAACCAATTATTCTAAGAAATATAAAATAAACTTCATTCCCAACTACGAGTGTTTAACAACAATTATTTTAAAAGTTAGAAGAAATCTATTGATTAAACATTTTCCACAGACAATTATTTTGGAATATCTTAATAAATAAAATAAGATAGTAAAGATATATATCAATGATTCACCATATCGAGAGTAAAAGTCATGTAACTGACTGACATCTCACGCATGCATATATCTTTTTCTTATCTTTTCAAATCAATTAAGGTACAAATTATTGTTTGTGGTTGAGAAAAAAACAACACTGGTACCAGAAATGTTGCATCCCTTTCATAGGATGACCATATTGATACCACTCCAATTCAGTTACACAATTTGTATCCAGTAAGCCATATATGATTACCCTCTAATTACATCATAGAGACTCAAAAGTGCAGGAAATTTTTTATAACAAAAAATCAAGTACGGGATAGAAGAAATAATTGAAAAAAAAAAAAAAATTAACACCTATTGCTAGAACTTAACAGGAAGGATGTCATAAACAAAACTCAAATATTTATAAAAGCGTAAGGAAGGGATGTATTACTCTATCTCACACTTGACGCTATAAGAGGCGTGTGATTAGTTTTAGTGTTACTAAAGTAAGCAATTCCGCAATTTAAAAAATCAAACATCTTGAATCTAATATTTTCTTCACTCCGAACAATAAAATAGACCATATACCAATACTGGAAGAATAACTTTATCCTCTCTCAAGAAAACTAAACTTATCAAATTTAACTTTAGCAATAATGATTTGTCCACTCATGACAGATATTCTAAGGCACATTTCTACACCATATATACAAAATAATGCAATTCAGATCATTAAAGCCAAATATGCTTGAAATCAGGAACAAAAAGGAAAAGTGAAGAATACCCTTCATTATCCTGAGCACGAGACCGAAAGCGAGGCTCACGGTTTCCAACTTGAGGGCTACTTCTAGGTCGCAGCATCCTCTTACGCTGCTGGACTCCATAATTAAAAGCTTCTCTTTCCCTTTCTGTAGCCCCTTCGCCATCACCACATCCATCATCAGATTCTTTATCGTAGCACCTACTGCGCTTTTCAGGTCTATCTCCTTCCATATCAACCTCTCTTTCTCTTCTCCTGTCTTTGGCTTCCCTATCAACATTTTTCCAGCTATCAAGTTCTTTTGGTTTTTTTTGCTCTGACACGAGATTTTCCTGCTCTAGCGGTGGCACTTTGACTGATCCCTCTCCCAACTCCTTCTCATTGTGCATACCCATACCCTCTTTCTCGGCTCCATTCCATGATTCTCTCTTGATATGATCTTTTTCCCTCTCTTTCTGTCTCTCCTTGTCTTTAAAAAGATCCTTCTTATCCCTCTCCCATTTCTCTGATTCTCTCTCTTCCCTAGTGGATTCTTTGCAGTCACTACTAATATTACCTACTTGCATACTGCTCCTACGATCACTTCGTTCCTTATCTCTGTCTCCCCAATCCCGATGCTTTGAATCCTTCCTTTTTCTGTCCTTCTCTTTAAATCTATCCTCACCTTTTGAATCAACTCTATTCTCCCCAATAGCCTCTTGTGTTTCCATGTAAACCCTCTCTTCAGTTACTGAACGGTCTTTTACTGAACAGTCTTTTCCAACCTCTACCAGGCCTTGAGAACTACCACGTGACCATGGATCTGTGCCAGCTGGTGGTTCAGAACTTCTTTTTCCTCTAGGGTAATCTTTTGATTCTTTCCAGTTCAAGTGACTACTTGCAGCAATATAACTTTCTTTTTCTACCTTTGCATCACTCTTCAGATCACCATAATTCTCCCTGTCATATTTTGCTTCTTTATTGTCATCACCTCTACTATCACATTTTGCATCCTTTTCACCTTTAACACTTTGAGCATCCCTCTTTCCCTCGCCAGAGGACTCCCTGGTTTCTATCCTTTGATTATCCTTAGAATCCCTCGATTCCAGCCTGCTTCCCGGAGGAGTTGGATGAGAATCTGTATGTGAATCATTCAAAGAAGATGTGAGCATCCGATAACCGGAATGCAGAGGAGATCTTCTCTCTATATCACGAGATTCAGACCGCGGAATCTTCACCGTCCGAGCATCTTGCCCCACGTCATAGGGCGGATGGTGGTACTCATTTGATACCCCAGAAGATGTCAACTTCGGATATGTACCTGTGTCTTCAAGTGGATATCTCGATGAAGAGGAATGACCACCATCTTCATAACATTTTTTAGGAGGAGCACCACTCATAACGAAAATCCCAGAATAATTACTACTAGAATATTCCAAAATCAAAAGAATTTCCTTCTGTCCTTTGCTAAATAATGTTTATCAAACTGAAACCTGCAAGAATCCTATTCAAGAATTAAAAAAATATATATAAATATTAACATAATTAAATTCAAGTTGATTTTAAAGTAATAACCAGAAATTAGATACCCAAACCCTACTAAACAAAAACGAGGTAGACGCAATGAAACTACAAAAATAAAATACAATGGAGGAGGCTGTGGTGACGACAATTATGAAAGTTGAGCGGCAACGATTTGTANCTATCCTTTGATTATCCTTAGAATCCCTCGATTCCAGCCTGCTTCCCGGAGGAGTTGGATGAGAATCTGTATGTGAATCATTCAAAGAAGATGTGAGCATCCGATAACCGGAATGCAGAGGAGATCTTCTCTCTATATCACGAGATTCAGACCGCGGAATCTTCACCGTCCGAGCATCTTGCCCCACGTCATAGGGCGGATGGTGGTACTCATTTGATACCCCAGAAGATGTCAACTTCGGATATGTACCTGTGTCTTCAAGTGGATATCTCGATGAAGAGGAATGACCACCATCTTCATAACATTTTTTAGGAGGAGCACCACTCATAACGAAAATCCCAGAATAATTACTACTAGAATATTCCAAAATCAAAAGAATTTCCTTCTGTCCTTCGCCAAATAATGTTTATCAAACTGAAACCTGCAAGAATCCTATTCAAGAATTAAAAAAATATATATAAATATTAACATAATTAAATTCAAGTTGATTTTAAAGTAATAACCAGAAATTAGATACCCAAACCCTACTAAACAAAAACGAGGTAGACGCAATGAAACTACAAAAATAAAATACAATGGAGGAGGCTGTGGTGACGACAATTATGAAAGTTGAGCGGCAACGATTTGTAAACAAAACATAGAAGAAACAATAACATAATTAAAAAAATATGTATGATGAATGAAGGCTTTCTTACCCATAATTCATCTCCAGTGCACAGAACCGGTTATAGTGGGTTCGAATATGCAAATTTCAATGCTTGAATAGTTGTTTTTTTTTTTTTTTTGGGTCAGATCAATGCTTGAAATTTAACGTTGGGATGTAAGCTATCTACAAAAATGCAGGCCCGTTTTTAGTAATCGGCCCGTGAGATTAGAAGAGTTTTTTGATATATTCACGGGCTGGGACTATCAAAGCCCGGACCCGGATTTTTACCATGCCTGGGCCCGGGTCATCCTGGTCCTTTTCATCCCGAATTACATTAGTTACGTAGACCCCTAAAAATCTCACAAAACTCCTTAGATCCCTCAATTATCAAAAACTACCATAAGACCCTCTTCCTTCTATTTTGGCTATCAAATTAAATATGGACTATGTTGGACATGATGAAATGACTAAATTACCCCTGAACTTTTTCAACTGCAAAGCTTTTGGGTGTTGGCTTTGTTTGACCTTTTTGTATTGAAAATTGATTGTGTTTAACCCTTGAAATGTCTAAAATGTGCTTAAAGCATTTTTTTTTTAATTTTTTTAAAACCTTACACAAAATTATTTAAGCTTATTTTCTTTAAAAAAAAAATAGAAAAAAGAACTTAGAAAATCTAAAGAAAAATTAAAATCACATAATGTGAAAACTGAAAATAAATTTGAAAAAAAAAAAAAGAATCTAAGAATTAAATTGAACTTTAAAATATGAAAGATTTAGAAATAAAAAATGTAAAAAATTGATTAAAAAAAAAAATACTTGTAGAAAAGTAAGGTGACCAAAACTTTTAAACTAAAAAATAATTTGGCTTAAATCGTCCATCCCTTATAAGATATCCAAATCAGAAACGGCACAGCAATTTTCAAAACTTTATATGCACTGGTTAGACATGGCGTTGTGTTATGTTTAGGGTTATTGTTTCATTAATTGGGTTTGAGTGCATGGTGTGAAGCATGATGTTATTTAAGTAGTTGTGAACTGAGTACATAAATTAGTTTGGTATGATGTGTGTTGGATAACGTTAATTGATATTTTTGTTGTTTTGGTCGAAAGAATGGGCTGGTTCATTGTGTTTGTTATAGGGAAGGTAGATAGTGATTGCTACAGCATCATTAAGTTTGACAAATCTGCTTTCCAACCAAATGAAGCAAACATTTGAAGACATTGGCCATTTTAGAAGGGTGTTGAGCATGGAATCAAAACGAGAGGGTTAAGTGCACTTCTGAGTGTGCATATGAGATTTGTCCAAGGAGGATGCATGCCTGTTTTAATATCACCTTTTGCATCAAGACTTATAGGCCTCAGCATAACCCTGAATTAATGTACATGTACTTGGATTGCAAAAAGGTTGTAGCAACTTCAGCATGATCCAACACTTGTAGCCCAAGACATTGTGGGTCATGTTGAAATCTTATTATGGGGTAAAACCTAAAATGTCCAAGGACTATCACTAAGATACTTAAGAAAAATCATGAGAGAAATTATGAGCTAATGCATAGGTATGGCAATGTATTAAGGATTTCAAACCCTGGTACAATCACATTTAATTTCAGTACTTGGTTTTTTTTCTTTTATTTAAATGATTGAATTTTGTAATTTTGCTAATGCATCTGACTTTGTTTGCTTCCTTTTGTTCCAAATCAAGGGCACTGCTCAAGCTAGAGCCTCTGGATATGGCATTACTCAAGCTGAAAGCACTTATGGACCATCATCATAAGGACCTAATCACATTACACCTCTTCGAACTCCACCACCTACTGCAACACAGACATCTCGGTCAGGTATGTTTTCATACTTGATCCTAAAACCTTAGTTTCCCTTAGCTTTTTAAATTGTTTTAGGTGTTAAAGCATTTTTGTATATGTGTCATTTTATAGGGATACTGGACTGATTTTATGATGAAGCTTGGAAGNAAGATATCCAAATCAGAAACGGCACAGCAATTTTCAAAACTTTATATGCACTGGTTAGACATGGTGTTGTGTTATGTTTAGGGTTATTGTTTCATTAATTGGGTTTGAGTGTATGGTGTGAAGCATGATGTTATTTAAGTAGTTGTGAACTGAGTACATAAATTAGTTTGGTATGATGTGTGTTGGATAACGTTAATTGATATTTTTGTTGTTTTTTTTTTTTTTTTTTTTTGGTCGAAAGAATGGGTTGTGTTTGTTATAGGGAAGGTAGATAGTGATTGCTACAGCATCATTAAGTTTGACAAATCTGCTTTCCAACCAAATGAAGCAAACATTTGAAGACATTGGCCATTTTAGAAGGGTCTTGAGCATCGAATCAAAGCGAGAGGGTTAAGTGCACTTCTGAGTGTGCATATGAGATTTGTCCACGGAGGATGCATGCCTGTGTTAATATCACCTTTTGCATCAAGACTTATAGGCCTGAGCATAACCCTGAATTGATGTACATGTACTTGGATTGCAAAAAGGTTGTAGCAACTTCAGCATGATCCAAGACTTGTAGCCCAAGACACTGTGGGTCATGTTGAAATCTTATTATGGGGTAAAACCTAAAATGTCCAAGGACTATCACTAAGATACTTAAGAAAAATCATGAGAGAAATTATGAGCTAATGCATAGGTATGGCAATGTATTAAGGATTTCAAACCCTGGTACAATCACATTTAATTTCAGTACTTGGTTTTTTTTCTTTTATTTAAATGATTGAATTTTGTAATTTTGCTAATGCATCTGACTTTTTTGCTTCCTTTTGTTCCAAATCAAGGGCACTGCTCAAGCTAGAACCTCTGGATATGTCATTACTCAAGCTGAAAGCACTTATGGACCATCATCATAAGGACCTAATAACATTACACCTCTTCGAACTCCACCACCTACTGCAACACAAACATCTCGGTCAGGTATGTTTTCATACTTGATCCTAAAACCTTAGTTTCCCTTAGCTTTTTAAATTGTTTTAGGTGTTAAAGCATTTTTGTATATGTGTCATTTTATAGGGATACTGGACTGATTTTATGATGAAGCTTGGAAGAACAACATCGTTCTAGGAAGTTGTTCATGCTTTTGGAATTTTTTGGGATTTTGGGGAGCTAATGGACTGACCATTCCATGTGGCGGAATGATTCGTGATGGTGGAACAATCATTCCATAAACCTTAGAACTAAGCAAAAGTATCTATTATATTAGAAATGACCGTTCACGATGGTGGAACGCCCGTTCCTCTAGATGCTGTAGCTTTTCAGAGGTGCATTAAATACAGCAATGACTCTTTACTTCAAAAGGGAGAGACAAACAATAAATAAAGCAATTTTATTGCAAGAAAGACAGAGAGAATATCATAGAAACAAAAGTCTTATAAAAACCATTCTTACATAATCCCTTTAGCTAAAAATCCAAATCATTAACTTTCTCTTGTACTCATGTTGAAAACCTTTGAAAGTCCTATTCTTATTGTGTGTTCAAGCCTAGTTTGAGAGGTAATCAGTCACAAACTTTTATTCAAACATCTTGTGAGTGAAATCTTGTAAAATTTAGAGACGAAATCTTGTTAAACTAATATAAAAGGCACAGTCTGATTATAGTAGAACTTCAAGGTTATTGCCTTGAAGAAGTAGATGTATAACGCTTGTGGATATAGCTCCGAACTACTGCAAATAGTTGAGCATTTCTTCTTTATGAACTCATTTATCATTCCTTGCATATTTATTACTTGCTCATCATTATCAATTGTTCATATTTATTTCTCACATCTATTGCTCACCATTGTTTATATTTGTTGATCATTAATATTGTACATTTATTGCTTATCATTGTTGACTTCTTGTTAATATTAGTTCATAATTTGTGTGGTTGGTGGAAGTTTTTATTCTGCAATTATTTTCATTGATTCCTATTCACCTCCCTAGGAATATTTGTCATATTTGGGTTACATAAAACCAAAACAAACATAAAGTTCCAACAAAACATTCTTGCTACCCGAAACATAACAGAACAATAGTAACTTCATCTTCACAACAAGATCTTCCAAACTAAAATCAACTCCAGAATTTCAAAATTAAACCTAGGGAAAGCAATATGGATTTGCCACTGATTCACTGATCTTCATTGTGGCTCTTCTTCCACAATCACAAAATCAGTTATGGAACTTGAATATTCCACTCTTAATTACTTTTTTTTCCTCCATTGTTGCAAAGAAAATGATGGCCCTCTCTGTCTCTCTCTCTCACTATATCAAATATCAGAGACTTCACTTGGGAGGAAGACAAGTTAAAGTGAAATATATTCATATGCAGGTTTTGGTACAGGAAGGGAGTAATTTACATCTACTAATTTACATGTAGAACTTGCTGATGAAGGCCTATGTGTAGTAATTTCTTCAATTCTAGGGTTCTAATAATTTTTATTACTAATAATAGGTTGCCTTTGTTCTAAGGGAGTTTTTGTAAATTTTAATCTTCTTATTCCATTAGGTTCTTGTATTATTTGCCGTATTTTAGAATCATTTTGATCATGTAAAGGTTTTGAATGGCATAATTTTTCTAACTTCCAATATGTTTGTTTAATAATATCATCCCAAACTAATCTTTTTGGAGTGAAAGTTTTATGTTTCGTTCTATCAGCTTCCATAATAACGGTATGTCCCAGAAGAGACATCATAATGGCTTTTGGGCTTATAGTGGTATTCATAATATTGTAATAAATCATATATATTGGGGGGGTTTGGATCATATGAAAGAAAGATCACCTTGAAGATTACTGAGAATATTTAGAAAATATGTTTGGTTGGTTCGAATAAATTGGTGGACAATATGTTTGGTTGGGAGGATAAATAGGTGGGTATGTTATATAGATTATTAAATTGCCCTCCTTTTTAAATATTAATATAATAGTATTTTTATTATTATTTTTTGAATCATTTTTTTAACCCCTTACATTTGAAATTTTGCTAAAACACCCCAACCATATGAAACTTTAATTTATAACAAAATCACCTCCACCCATCCCAAGCCACTGTTGGTAGCCAACCACCACTGCCGGCGGTCGACGGAATGACGCACGACTGGCCGTATATGGCTGGTCATGTGCCGGCAAAGCCGAAAATGGTCATGG